CGCAAAGGAGAATTTAATGGCGCTAAAATTTTTTATTATACAACATACAGAAATAGAGTTTTTTAATTTAAAAATTCAAAACCCAAAAACAACGTGCAGACCCTAACGAATCAACTAAAAAACTGGAGAACAAAGCAACAGCCAAAAATCTGGGGAGGAAAAGGGAGGGAGATTAACAGTAACAAAATGAAAACACATTATTACTCCCAACTACTAAAACAATGTACACTAGTATCAGTCATGAATACGGAATAAAAGCTAAAAAGAACCAAGTATACAGTATATAATAAAGGTAGCTTTATTTCAATGCAACAAGAAAAAGATTTTCGTTAATGGGGCTAAAACAACTGATTAATTATTACGGAAAAATAAAGGAAGTTATTTCACTTCATGTATGACGTCAAAACAAATCCCAGAAGAACAGAAAGAGAGACATGAAAACGAAACCATGAAAGAACTAGAAGAAAACAGTTATCTGGGCAGGAGAACCCAATAAATATGAAAGTAAAGTAGCCATAGAAAGGAGGTATTAACCTAAATTTCTTAAACGGTAAAAACCCTTTCAAGTTAAAATAAAAAATACCCTAAGCAAATAAAAGACAAACAAAGAGCCAGGGAAAGTATCTGCGGGATGTGACAAAGGGCTGCTATCCTAAATATATAAAAGAATAAAAAGGGTATTGCGAATATAGAACACGGCCCCAAATGAGCAAAAGACAAACTAGAAGATACAATACCCATCTCTCCACTCGTCACCATAATTAATCTAAGAAATATATAATCAGGGGGCGCCTGGGTGGCTCAGTCGTTAAGCGTCTGCCTTCAGCTCAGGTCATGGTCCCAGGGTCCTGGGATCTAGCCCCGCGTCGGGCTCCCTGCTCTGTGGGAAGCCTGCTTCTGCCTCTCCCACTCCCTCTGCTTCTGTTCCCTCTCTGTCAAATAAATAAAATCTTTAAAAAAAAAAAAAGAAAGAAATATATAATTAGTCTTATGAAAAGGGAAGGCAGGAAGGAAAATATTCAAGCATTGGCAAAGATATGGAGGAAGTGTGTATTCTCTCACGTTTTTTGTCAAACTTTATACTGGTTTGGTCAACTTTATGTTAGGTAAATTTTTAAAAGATCTGACAATGTTTATAAAAAGACAAAAAAATGTTCATATACTTTGACTCAGTCACTGTAAGACAGACTGAATCCCAAAGAAATAAGAAAATGGAGAAAGACTTAGCTCTTCACCACACTAATAGTGGAAAAAGGATGAAGCAACAAGTCACATGACAGGTGACTAATTACAGTAAGATGAAATGCCATGTGCCCTTACAGAATCCTATGTATGTGGATCTAACTTCTGCCGTCCAGTGAGAGACAATAACCAAATAAACCACTTCGGATGACAGGTTCCATAAGGAAATGAAGCAGAGTCACCGGGTCAGGGAACTTGGTCTGCAGAGGCATCTCTGAAGCAACGACATAGGAGCAGACATACGACTGGATGTGCCAGAGAGCAAAACACAGTAGTTTTAAGGAAACAAGCGCAGCATGCTCAAGAATCCCAAAAAGACCAGTACACCTGGAGGTGCGTGAGTCAGGATGTCAGGGGGAAAGCCCGCAAGGCTGGATGGTCTAGAGCGGCACCATCCAACCCACAGCCACAAGTCAAGTGTGGCTAGCTACTCGACACTTGAAACATGGCCAGTCCCCGATGCACTCTAAGTGGAAAATATATATTGGATTTTGAAGACAGTCTGAAAAAAGTATAATATCCCATTAATAATTTCTTATGCTAATCACTTAATGAAATCATAATATCTTGGGTTATGTAAAATACATCTCACCTGTTTCTCTTTTTTTAATGTGGCTATCAGAAAGTTTTAAAGATTTTCCTTATTTGAGAATGGGGTGGGGGAGGGAATCTCAAGCAGACTTCCCACTGAGTGTAGAGCACTACATGGGGCTCAATCTCACAACCATGAGATCATGACCTGAGCCAAAATCAGGAGTCAGATGCTTAACTGAGCCACCCAGGTGCCACTGGCTATCAGAAAATTTTAAATTACTTATGTGGCTCCCATTATATTTCCATTGGACATTGCTGGTCTAGGGTATAGATGCCATAGTAAGAAGTTTTAATTTTATTTTGTGTACTGTAAAGTAATCGGAGGGTGTTGAGCCTCTAATTTACACATTTAAATGATTGTTCCCCCATAGGAACAGCACAGAGACTGCAGGAGAGTGAGAGCTGAAGCAGGGATACCAGTTAGATGACTACTATTACCATCCTGGGTACAACAAGGTGTTGAGATGGATCATATCTGGGATAAGCTTTGAAGGTACAGGCAACCTAGTATTGTTCAGAATCCCACTTCCAATTGTTTAGAATATACACAAACAGAAAGACTGGGGGTATACCTGCCAAAGCTTTAACAATGGTTATTTAGGGCGCCTGGGTGGCTCAGTCGGTTGGGCGACTGCCTTGGGCTCAGGTCGTGATCCTGGAGTCCCGGGATCGAGCCCCGCATCGGGCTCCCTGCTCGGCGGGGAGCCTGCTTCTCCCTCTGACCCTCCTCCCTCTCATGCTGTCTCTCATTCTCTCTCTCGCAAATACATAAAATCTTAAAAAAAAAAACCCAAAACAATGGTTATTTATTCTTTGTAACTTTCTATTCCTTTTAAAAGTGTGGGGGGAAAACACCAAAAACAACATTGCCCTTGATACAAAAAGCAGGCTTTTTTAAAGCTCTTAGGCAGGATAAACGCAACAGCCGTACCAAAAAAAGCACCCTCGTAGCTGTCTGCACGCCACCCATGCTGGTTACAACAAAGCACCTTTAAGAACAAGTTATTTGAGGGCGCCTGGGTGGCTCAGTCGTTAAGCGCCTGCCTTCGGCTCAGGTCGTGATCCCGGGGTCCTGGGATCGAGCCCCGCATCGGGCTCCCTGCTCGGCGGGAAGCCTGCTTCTCCTTCTCCCACTCCCCCTGTTTGTGTTCCCTCTCTCGCTGTGTCTCTCCCTGTCAAATAAATAAATAAAAAATCTTTAAAAAAAAAAAGAACAAGTTATTTGAAGCTATGAACCTTCCGGAAACTGACGCTGCGCCCTATTTTGCCAGCGCGCCGCTGTCCGCATGGTAAGTGCCACCTCAGTGTAGAAGCGCGCCCCTTGGGGCACCCACACGTCCGAGGCTAAGGACTACAAAGCCTTACAGGTGCGGAGGGCGCATCCAGTGCCCGCCACACCCCCTCCCCCGAGAGCGCCCAGCGGGACGCCCTCCCCGTCGTCGCACAGGAGAGCGCCGTGGCCCTGGCGCTCTTCCTCGCAGGCTCTGCCCTCCGACGGGGGCTTCCCTCAAGCACAGCCTGCAAGGCCGGAGGGACAGACGGCGGGCCGGCTTCCGGGCCACAGCGTGCCAAGGACGGACGGAAGTCTCGGCGACGCGCCGGAGAGGACACGGGGGGGCTCGCTTTTCGCCCCACAGGGCTTTCGCGCTGAGAAGCGGAGAGCAGCCGGTGCCTGACGTCCCCCAGTGCGACTTCGAAGGGAGAGACTCGCGGTCCACGCACACGGACAGGAGCCTGGGTTCCCTCCAGGCGTTCAGACACCAGGCCCCGGCCACGGTGGCCCGAGGGTCCCCCGAACGCCCCGCCCTCTCCTGCCGTCGACACGCTTTGCTCTCGAGGAACCAACGCGTGCGGCCGGGAGCGGGAGCTCCACGCGCCGCGACTCCGCGGGGTGTCACCCGTCACCCAGGGGCCCGGCGCGGTCACCGAGCTCGCAAGAAGAGCGCTCCGGGCGGACGCACGGCCGCGGCGAAGCTGCCCGTCTCACAAGGCAAGGCCGCGCTGAACGCGACGCCGACTGCGCCGAACCGACCGGCGCGGAGACGCGCGGGCACAGAGCAGGGGGGACCGCGGCGAGCGGCGGCTCCGTCTTCGCCCCCTCCGGCGCTCCCCTGCTTCGCGAAAGGCGGCCGCTCGCGGAGCCGCCCACGCGGAGCGCGCCGCCGCCCCGGCTCCCACCCCCGCCGCCGCCCCGGCACCCCGCCCGCCCCGAGCAGCAGAGCGAGAGGCAACCTGTTGCGCGGACGTGAAAGCGCGTCTTCCGCAGAAAAGGGGCACCGCTCCCCTGAAGCTGCGGCCCCTGAGTCCCAGGCAGGTCGGTAGCCCCGGGCCAGCCCCGGGGGTCGCCGCAGCTCCGTCGGGAAGGGGACACTCCGGCTGGAAGCCACCCACACTGCAGTGGGGCCGAACAGCAGTCCCGGGGCGCGCCCTCCCACACCCAGGCGGGCTGCTGCAGGGGAGCGGCGGCGGGGCGCTCGGGACCCCCGCCCCGCCCCCCCCCCCGGGGCCGCAGGAACGCGCCGTGACAGGAGGGGCCGCCCCCAGCCGGGGCCGCGGGCGCAGCAGGTGGAGGCCCGCCCCCCACCCCCCGCCCCCGCCCGCCAACTGCTCGGGGCGGGGGCGGGGCCCCGCGAGCGCAGCCCCCGGCCCGCCCGGGCCCGCCCGCCCCCCAGCCCGGGAGCGCCGCGCCTCGGCCGGTGGGGGAAGGGAGCGGCTCCGGGCCCCGGGCCCCGGCCCCCCCCCCGGCCTCCTCAGCCCCCCCCGGCCCCCCGGCCCCGGCCGCGCTGCTCACCTGGCGGCGGCCCTCCCCGCCCGCCCGCCCGCCCGCCGCGCTGCCCGCCGCCGCCGGTCGCCGCCGGAGAGTGGGGACAGGTGAGGCCGCCGAACCCCTGCTCGCTCCGGCCCCGCCGCCGCCGCCGCCGCCGGCCCTCCGTCCGCTGTTTATTAAACTTTTCTGTTTGGTTGTTCGGCCTGTGACGCGACCGCGGGCCCGAGCTCGGCGATTGGCCGGCGCCCCGCGCTGACGCGGCGCCCCGCCCGCCGCCTAATTATTACCGGCCGGGCGGGGCCGCGGGGCGGGCTCGCGGGGCGGCGGGGGCGGGGCCCGCGGCGCGCGGCGATTGGCCGGCGCCCCGCGCGGGGGGCGGGGCGGCGGGGGCGGGGCCCGCGGCGCGCGGCGATTGGCCGGCGCCCCGCGCGGGGGCGGGGCGGAGCGCTGGCAGCCGCGCCCCCTTCCCCGCGGCCGGGCGGGCGCTTCCTCCGCTCGGCTCGCGCGGGTACCGGCGCGTGGGCCGGGGGCCTCTGGTGGCTGGGCTCGTGTCGCGTGGCCGTCAGCGTGCGTTCCCCCGTCTGTCCCGCGCAAGGGAGCTCGGAACCGGCCGCACGTGCGAGCCGGTGCCCCCGGCCTGGCGAGCGCGCCCCGGCGCGCACCCGGTGCCACGCGCGCCCTGGCACCCGCGGGCAGCAGAGCGGTGCGGGCGGCGCCCCCGGAGCGCCTCCGCCCTCGGGCTCACGGCCCCCACGAGCGGGAGCCCCGAGGCACGGTTCGAGGGCGGGGCCGACGGGTCGGAGCTGACCGGGTCCCGGAGGTCCCGTCTGTTTTCAGTCCACCGTGCGCTTGTTACGCCAGTTCTGATGTTCGAGAAACACGGTGTCAGCATCTTACTGATCTCGATTACGGAGCGTTCTGGGGCCCGTCTACGCTTTAAGCTGGAAGTGAGTATCCCCGTGTCCTCACCGCAGCGCAGTCTCGCTCTGGGGAGGGGGACTCTGGCGGGACTGGCGGGCAAGGCTGGGTCTTTGCAGATGGCCCCGGGGATAAGAAGCGGCCAACCGCGGACAGGTACGGGCCGGACGGGAGTCTTCAAGGAGAAGGTGCCGGGAGGTTTTGGCAACGGGGAGGGCGTAAGGCTTGGCCGTGCTGGGAGCGGGAGCAGCACTTTCCTGCTCCCCCCAAGAGGCGGGAAGGTGGAATTCGGGGTTTGAAGAACAGTCTGATGTGTCGCGAGGTGGCAGACGGGGCTTCAGGGCGAGGTGACAGAGGCCTCGTGTAAAGTTGAGCCTGCTACCAGCCATAGGAGGGGGACAGTCCTACACTGGAGGGAGCTTGTGCGGGGCGGAAAGCCACCCAAAGGGTGTTTTTAACAGTCGTTCCAATTTAATTTTAAACACAGACACACAAGCGGTGGGTTAACCCAAGGGAAGGAGGTTTTGTCCAAGGATCTCATCTCTGATAATGGAGACCACGTTATACTGGAGGCTAGAGAATGTCTTAGGGTCAAGTATTACAAGTCTTAGAAGCCAAATGGAGCATTTGACTTTGCTTGGTGGGAAATGGGAAGCCATTGTAGAATGAAAAGGACTGTAGGAAGGGAAGGAAAGGGTGCATTATAGCCATTTGGTGGCTTCTGCAGGTACTAGGAAGAAATTTCAGCCTGGGGTTCTCTCAACTATTCACGGCCCTCTTGTCATTGCAGAGTAGAACGATATGGAAAGATTTTACGTTTTTGGCCACAGTTCGCATCCCTATTAAGGCACATTTTTGGCTCAGTGACGGTGAGCGAGACCCACAACCTCCCTGGGTCTCAGTTTTCTGTTAGTATCGGAAACATCAGTGAACAAAACCAAGATGCCTGCCCTCATCGATTTTTCATTCTAATGGGCAAAACACATAGTAAGTATTTGTGTTGTGAGTTAGAAGATGGTAAGAGGTATAGACAAGAAAATGTAGGCCAGGTTGCAGCGTTAGACCCAGTGGTCAGTGTAGGCATGGCTGGGAAGGTAAGGTTTGAACAGAATTTTAAGAGGTGACGGTATAGTCCTATGAGTGACTGGGAGAAGAGCCTTCCAGACTGAGAACGGTTATGCACCGGGCTGGAGGCAGATGAGCTGGGTAGATGGAGCTATGAACATCTGTCTACAAGAGTTTGTGGGCGCATACATTCTCGCTTCTCTTGGGGACGTACCTAGGAGTGGTGCTTCTGTTTGTCCCTTGAGGAACTGCTAGGTTGTTTTTCCAAAGGGGATGCACTATTTTACATTCCCACCAGCAAGGAGTGAGGGTTCCAGTTTCTCCACACCCTGGCAACACCTGTGAAGGGCTATCTTCGGATGATAGCCCACCCTAGTGAGAATGAAGTGGAATCTTGTGGTTGGGATTTGCATTTCCCTGATGGCTAATGATGCTGAGCGTCTTTTCATGTGCTTATTGGCCTTTCATAGATCTTGGAGAAATGTCTATTCAGATCCTCTGCTCATTTTTATATTGGGTTATTTGTCTTTTTAATTTTGGGTTGTAAGAGTTCTTTACGTATTCTGAACACAAGTCTCCTATCAGATAGATCTATAATTTGCAAATATTTTCTCTCATTTGTGGATCTTTCGTTTCACTTGATTGCTGATATCATTTGAAGCCTAGAAGTTTTTAATTTTGCATTATCCTTTTCTTAAGTCCTCCCCTCCCAACATCCAATTAGTCACAAATTTAACTGATTCTGCCTTAGAAATCTCTCTGAAATGTACCCTCCACACTGCCCTGTGTACCCCCTTATTATTTCTCACCTGACTTTAAGCAAAGCCTCCAGTCCTATTCACTCCTCTATACCCGACCCAGATGGTCCTCCAGCTGCTTCCAGAATGATCTTTCTGAAACACAAATTGAGCAGGTCAGACATCTGTGGGGTCCCCATTCCTGCTGGAACTGTTCTTAAACTCCTTCAATAAGAGTACCCACAGCATTTTAAAAATTCAGATTGCAGGTCCACGATCTGGACACAGTGAATCAGAATCTCTAGGGGAAGAGCCTTGGCATCTATTTTTAAAAAGCCCCCAGGTGATTTTTATTCTCAGAATACTTATGCCTACAACAATGGTTCTAAACCAGGGGTGATTTTGTTCCCCAGGGGACATTTGGCAATGTCTGGAGACGTTTTTGGTGGTGACAACTGGGGGGGGGCAGCTGTCACTTTAGTGTGACACTGGGGCTGCTGCTAGACATCGTGTGGGGCACAGGGCAGCCCCCCGTCAAGAAACTGTCAGCCCTCAATGTCAGTCATGCCACACTGAGAGCCCTGGCCGTATTTATAGGAGATAAAATATGAACTTCTGCATTTGAGTCTGGCCGATTGGTCCCCAGCCCTATGAAAGATGTAGCGCTCTGTAAGAACCATCGCCAACTAAGTGGCTTAAAACAACGATTTACTGTTTCTCAGGACTCTGCAGCTGGCCTCGCCTGTGCTCTGGCATGGAGAAGCTGCCGGGGACTGTTGAGCTGTACGCCTGTTCAGTTGGGTCTCTGGTTCCGTGCGTGTTTCAAGGTATGAAGGTTTGGGGGTGCAAAGGGTGTGAGCTTGGATGCCATTTCTGCAGGGTTGCACCAATCACAGAAGGTGATCAAGGGGTAGGGAAACAGATTCTACTTTTGAAAGCAAGGAACTTGCGAAGAAGAAGTCGTGGCCATGTTAATCCACCCACCAGCCTACCTTTTCAATACTGTCTCCAGGGCCCACCTCCTTCTAACCTCAGTGGGCACCTGCCAGGGCCAGACCAGACTCAGGCTCCAGGCAGTATGGGAGGGAGTACCCTCAGAAAAACCTCACACAGACTCGCGGTTGCGCTTCTTCCGACGACTCCTCATCAGCGTCTAGGCCAAAGGTTTTAGTCTCAGGACCCTCCTACATTCAAAAATTTCTGAGGACCCCAAAGAACTTTTGTTTATGTCGGTTACATCTATCAATATGTACCGCATTAGAAATTAAAAATGAGATGTTTTAAAAATAAACATTAATTAATTTAAAAACAGTAGTTAACAACCTTTTTACCTGTTAAAGAACATTTTCAAATGGAAATTAGCCATATACACATCAGAATACGCGTCAGTAGGAAGACACCATGTTACATTTGTGCACAGAAGGCCGCCTGATGCTCAGATTTGTTTTTTCATTCTTTCTGTTGCAATATCACACCTCACGTAGCCTCTGCAACATTCTGTACACTCATAAGAAAGAGGCAAATCATGACAGTATTATAGGAAAAACAGTTCTGACCTCACAGACCCCCTCAGAGGGTTTCAGAGACCCGCAGGGGTCTGTGATCACACTTGAAGAACCATCCAGGGTTCTTCTCCCAACTGGCCCAGGCCAGCAGCTCCCTCAGCTCCATGGACATGCTTCTGCCCACCTACTGACATTCATTACATTCATTTGTCAGCCCTTTTATGACCTTACCCTTGTGTGTGCACTCTCTGCTTAGCCCCTACCAAACTCCTACTCATCCCTCAAAACCCACTGTAAGTGCCTGCTGCATGCTGAAGGCTTTCTTGACTCCTACGGGCAAAATTAGGAGTCCTCCTTTATGTGTTGTCACACACTTTACCCTCCTTCTGCAATAGAACTTACCCTGTGAAATTGAAACTTACCAGTCTGTATGTTTGCCTCCTCTCTAATTAGGCCAGAAACTTGTTTTTCTGAAGTTTGGGATGGTTTTTTTTCATATTGGAACGAGACGCAGGTTGTAAATCGATCCCTTTCCAAACCACTAACCAAGGATCCTGACAAATGTTTCAATCCTCCCCTTCCTCCTGGTTTTGTTTGAGGCCTCCTTTATCATATTCTAACTTTTTGTACATAGTAGATTTTAGATCTGGGCTTTTCCACTTACCTTCTTACTCTGCCTCAGCTATATGTCTGGTTTTTACCTTCTTACTCTGCCTCAGCCATATGTCTCGTTTTTACCTTCTTACTCTGCCTCAGCCATATGTCTGGTTTTAAGGAAGACCCGTGGTATGTGAACCCCATGGCCTCAGAAAAAGTTTTAGTGTCTAGTGGAGTCTGTCCTTCCATCTACTATTGCTCTTTCTCTTCTGAACTTTATTGGAAATTCTGCTCTGTTTATGCCTCCAGGTTAACTTTGGAATAATTTTGTCAGTTTCCAAGAAATATCCTGCCAGGATTTTAACTGGGATTCCATATGCATAAAACAATTTGGGGGAGCAGGGAGAGAAGTGTGTACCTTCACAGAATTTGGGTGGCCCATCAAGAGGTCTGCTGGGGTTTTCCATTTTCATTTATTTAACTTAAAAAAGGCTCTTGACATATTTTGTTTCCTTAATTTTATGTAACTGAGTGAAATATTAAAGAGGAATGCACACAATCATAGTATTTCTCGCTAATAATTCACTTAGGTATATTATGCTTTGTATATTAAAATACAAATGTATTTTAGGTATATTAAAATAGTCTTTAATAATTTTTCAGTTGATTGCTTTGTTTTTTATCAAAATAGTATATTCCCTCTTCCCTTTACAATCTATATACTTTTTGTTTTATGTCTTACTGCTTGCAGCCAGAATTGTCAATAGATGACACTATGAACTAATTTCTGACAAATGCTGATTTCTTTGGAACAAACACCGTTTTAAAAAAATGATGCTAAGGGAGTAGCTTTTATGCTTCTATGCAGTGGGTCTTAGAAATGGCCGTTGAACTGTATGGCTGAATTTTCCCCATCTGTGAAGACCATTGCGAAGATCATTTTCATATTTTATCTGTAGTTGCAAAGTAGCAGATTAATAGGCTTACTTATGCTGATTTTTCTTTACACTTTCTATTTTCATCTTGATCTGACTTGCTTTGTTACGAGTTAATACAGTTGGACTGTTCTCCTGGCCACAGTTATATTGCTCAGTTTTAATTTATAAGTTGGTGCCTGAATTTATACATCAGTCTTGTGTCCTTTTGGCTAATGTGAGTCTGCCTGTGAGAAATGACTCTGATGACAGAAGTAGCATTTAGAGATACAAGACAGTTACCACATCAGGATAGGGAGTGCTGCTCCCATGAAGCCTTGGGGGACACCCCACTGGCCTCATCCAGGCAGGATGTCCTAACAGCACTGTGATGGCTAAGACGGCCATTCTCAGCACCTAAGCATTCTCCTAAATCCCACCTGTGTATCCCTTTTCTTCATTCTAATGGTAATTGCTAGGCTAGGCTCCTAAACTAGAGTTCAAAGGATCGGCCGGTTTTGTTATCATTTTTAAAACATACGGGGCCCCTGGGTGGCTCAGTTAGTTAAGCGGCTGCCTTCTGCTCAGGTCATGATCCCAGGGTCCTGGGATTGAGTCCCACATCGGGCTCCCTGCTCCGCGGGAAGCCTGCTTCTCCCTCTCCCACTCCCCCTGCTTGTGTTCCTGCTCTCGCTCTCTCTCTCTCTGTCAAATAAATAAATAAAATCTTAAAAAAAAACAAAAAACATACTATCTTGTATTTATTTACCAATTCTACTCTTTTTTTGTAGCTCCCAATTGATTTAAATACTTTTCCTTAATTACTGTTTTCCTAATAGTTTCATGAGGACATTTCCCCCCTTCTCCTGAAACCGTACGGTGGAAGTCTGTTTTCTTGTCATCTCTCTGATACCGTGCAGACTTCAGGACAGTGAACTTGCCTCCAAGCTGTGCCCTTTTCGTGTGCAGGTCCCACACTGATTTCCACGTTGGCTTTGTCTCTCCTCCACGAGGCTCCTCTCATTTGTATTTTCAGAATTTTACTTCTTTTATTTATTTTTTTTTTTAAGATTTTATTTATTAAAGAGAGAGCACGAGCAGGGAGGAAAGGGAGAAGCAGGATCCCTGCTGAGCAAGGAGCCCGACACAAGACCTGATCCCAGGACCCTGAGATCATAACCTGAACCGAAGGCAGACACCCAACCGACTGAGCCAGCCAGGCGCCCCTCAGAATTTTACTTTTAGCCCATCTCAGGCTGAGGAACTGTGCGGAAGAGGACACGATACCTGAATACGACATGGTACCTGGGGTGGGCTTTGGGAACAGATGACGGACATGAAGAACTGAGGACATCTGAACCAGGTATGAGCTGCAGCTAGGAATAATGTGTGTGTCAGTGCTGATTCACTGATTGGGACACGTGGACCATAAGATGTCACTAGCAGGGGAAAGTGGGTGTGCAGTATATAGGATCCCTCCGTACCATCTTCAGCCTTCTCTATTAGTCGAAAAGTACTCTAAAATGAAATTTTTATTGAAAGAGCAAACCTCTCTGGCCCCTCAGACAGCCATCAGAACCTGTTTGTGAAGGGCTCCCATGCAGCAGTGATGGGCTTTGGCTGGGCCTGGGGCCAAGAGACCTCACCACTGGCCACTTACTGAGCAGGATGCTGGATGCCCAGCCATTGCCAGGAAGGCGGTGCTGAAGGAGACCGGTGCTGGCTAGACACCCTGTTTTCCCCAGCTCTGAGCCCTGAGAGGCTGCCCCACACGGACTGCCTCCATGAGCGTCCTTGTCCTTTGGCCTCCAGTTGTGGTTGGTCTGTGGGAAACGGGGAGGAGGTGGGAGGGAGAAGGAGCCCGAGGTGGGGGTGCTTATTCTTGGGTTGAGCCCTTCTGGGTCACAGAGGGGAATGATCCTCTTCTATCAAAGGCCCCAGCTCCTTTCACCGTGGCCTCTTGCATTCAGCTCCTCACCCAGGTTCTGGGAAGAGTGTTCCCCTCCAGCTCTTATCAGCCCAAAGCACAGCTCTCACTCAGTACTACGGGTACCCTACGGATACGTGCTCAGCCTTGATAAATGTTCATCTGATGAATGAACCAGCCAATGAATCACAGACTGGTATAGTTGCCAGAGACCCCTGTGACATGGGACCAAACAGCCCCGTGGTTAGAACGTGGGGAGGTCGGCGCTGGGCTCAACCGATGGCTCTTTTGCTTAACCAGACACGCAGTCTGGGGCAAGCTGTGCAAGTTGTCCAAGCTTCCATTCCTTCTCTTTAAAGTGGAGATCGGGGCCGCCTGGGTGGCTCAGTTGGTTAAGCGACTGCCTTCAGCTCAGGTCATGATCCCAGAGTCCCGGGATCGAGTCCCACATCAGGCTCCCGGCTCATCGGGTAGCCTGCTTCTCCCTCTGACCCTCTCCCCTCTCTGCTGTTTCTCATTCTCTCTCTCTCTCAAATAAATAAATAAAATCTTTAAAAAAAATAAAGTGGAGATCGGGGCACCTGGGCGGCTCAGTCGGTGAAGCGTCTGCCTTCGGCTCAGGTCATGATCCCAGGGTCCTGGGATCGAGTCCCTCGTCAGGCTCCCTGCTTGGTGGGAGTCTGCTTCTCCCTCTGCCTCTGCCCCTCCCCCTGCTTGTGCTCGCCCTCTCTCTCTCTGGCAAGTAGATAAATAAAATCTTAAAAAAAAAAAAATGGAGCTCATCCTATTTTCTTCATTAAGTTGATTACATGAAAAACAGTTTATGCAAAATGCTTTAGCAAAGTGTCTGGCACAAAGATAAACGCTCTGTAAACAGTAGTCATGCGTGCTGTCTCACCCAGTCATGGCCGAAATCTGATGGTCTTGTGCAATAGATAAACCAGGAAGGACAATTAACAAGCTAAACATACTTGGCAAGCAGAGTGGTAAACACGTCCCACCCTGCAAGTAAGCAAAGGAACTCTAGGTAAAACAACAGTGAGACACCATGTCTTGCCTCCAAAATGAGAAAATTGCTTTAGTAATACTTAGATTACTTAAATATTGGAAAGGACACAGTGAATCAGGGACTCTCAGTCATTCAGCTTGGGGCTCAAAATTACCAGAAAGCAGTAGTTTTTTTGTTTTGTTTTGTTTTTTAAGATTTTATTTTAGAGAGAGTAGGGGCAGAGGGAGAATCTTAAGCAGACTCCCTGCTGAGCCCAACGTGGGGCTTGAGATCATGACCTGAGCTGAAACCCAAGAGTTGGACCCTCAACCTGGCTGAGCCCCCCAGGCGCCCTTGCAATAGTTTTAAATTTAAAATTGACCTACTTCTGTCCCAGTAACTGTGTTTTTAGTAGTCGAGATCATAGAAATGCAGAAAAAAGTTTGAATAAAGAAGTTTCTGACACCTTTGCTTGTAATAATGACAGACAGGCAGCCAGCTGGTTAGATAGACAGGCAGATGATAGATAGATACAGAGAAACAGATAGAAAACCACCTAAATAACCATCAGTAGGAAACACCTAACTAAATTAGGATATAGCCATTCTGTGAATGGGTTGTTGCATACTGGGGTTCAGGTTGTGCACTGCATAAGGGAGCCACAGCTAAAGGAGCTTCAGTGACATCTTAGACACATACTGAGAAATGAGAGCTTGCAGGTCCTCGTATAAGTGAGCACAGACAGGGGCACCGGGTGGCTCATGCAGTTGAGCATCTGCATCTTGGTTTCAGCTCAAGTCATGATGTCAGGGTTGAAAGAGTGAGCTCCTCGTCAGGCTCCACGCTCTGCATGGAGTCGGCATGGAGTCAGCTTGTCCCTCTCCCTCTGCTCCTCCCTCTGCTTGTGCTCGTGCTCTCTCTCTTTCTAAAATAAATAAATAAATAAAACCTTTAAAAAAAAAATAAGTGAGCGGTGCCTGCGTGGCTCAGTCGGTTGAGCATCTGCCTTTGGCTCGGGTCATGATCTCAGCATCCTGGGATTGAGCCCCATGTTGGGCTCCCTGCTCAGCAGGGATCTGCTTCTCCCTCTCCCTCTGCTCCTCCCCTCCACTAGTGCTCTCTCTCTCTCTAAAGTAAATTAAAAAGTCTTTAAACGGGACACCTGGGTGGCTCACTTGGTTAAGCGTCTGCCTTCGGCTCAGGTCATGACCCCAGGGTCCTGGGATCGAGTCCCGCATGAATAAATAAATAAAATCTTTAAAAAAAAAAAAATCTTTACAAAAAGTAAACTGAGTGCTGTCACACGCGGCTATGCACACGCTCAGTGGTGCACACATGTGTGTGTAGTTCAAGCCTGTCCCATGTGTACCTGTGAGCCTCCTCTTCTTGCTCACCTGCTGCCCCAGGTCCTGCCCAGCTGTGAATCTGACACAGACTCCTCATCTGGAGATGGAGCGTGCACTCTGGAAGCGCAAGCCCCTGGCATCCAGGGAGTTCAGGGTGTACGTGGGGGGCAGAGCGTGGGTGTCTAGGTGCACAACGAGGCTGCTTCCCGCCATGTGCTGGAATGCGCCTGGCGGAGCGATCAGACCATGCAGCAGCTCGCTTGCACCAATATTGTATGTGAGGCGAGAGTGCCTTTTTAAAATTCTGGTAAAGGGTAAGGGCATCGGGCAGGCAGGCAGAGGCCCTGCTGACTTCCGTGTGTGTCCCAAAAGCAAGTTGCAGGACGCTAGGCACAGTGTGGTTGCAGTTAGGTAAATAAGTATGTACGGGGAGGTGAGTAGGGAAGAGATGGACCGCCGGGGCAGGAGAGTGGGTGGGGAAGCTGGGAAGGCAGATTCTGAGACGATGCTCTTTTCTCTTCTCTGTATTTTAAATGTTTTGCCATGTGAGTGTATGCACATATTGCTTGCATAGTTTAAAAAGTACATTAAAATCAGGAACGACAGGGGCGTCTAGGTGGCCCAGTCCGCTGGGCATCCCACTCTTGATTTCTGCTCAGATCCTGATCTCAGGGACCTGGGATCGAGCCCCGCATCTGGCTCCGCAGTCAGCGGGGAGCCTGCTGGAGATTCTCTCTCTCTCCCTCTGCCCCTCCCCTCACTGGCTCGCACATGCTCTCTCTCTCTCTCTCTCTCTCTCAAATAAATACATCTTTTAAAAAAATCAGGAATGACAACAACAAAGAAATGCTGGCATGAGTTTCAACAGCTGGGACTGCTCAGCAGAATACGGCAGCTTACAGAGTCTGCAAGCCCCCTCCAAAAGTTCCGTGAAGAAAGCAGAAGAGAAAGTTCTGTGAATATGAAAATTCGTCAGTAATACATTCAGGAAAAAAGGCAAGTCCCAGAACAGCAGTCCGTTAGCGTCATACATGTGTTAAAAATACAGACACATGTATCCGTTTGCATATAATAAATGCCTGAAAAGATAGATACCAAATGAGCAGAAAAGATAGATATCATCTCTGAGGGGCAAGAGAAAGCTTACTTTGAAATGTTCAAGTTTTTTATCATGAATAGGTATGAATTTTGTATTAAAACCTAAATTGTATATGAACAGATATGTTATATGTGTTCATATTACATAGACATCTACGTGCCTAGGAAAATAGATGAGAATATCATATACCACATATTTAATAGTTGTCTCTGAGTCATGGGATTGGCGATGATTATTACTAGTGCCTTTTTATCATGTATTTTTCATATTTTCACCAATGATCTTGTATTTTAAAATCTGAAAAGACTTTTTTTAAAAATCAGAGTGTTAAAAACCTAATAAAACTCTATTGTATGATCACTGGTTGGTGAAAGTAAGTGAAAACTTTGTACATGGAAAAAAAAATCTGGGAAAAACTAGAATTTAGTGGAAATTGGGTATGAAATATTTTTCTTCCTCTTCTGAATTTTCCATATTTACTATTATGAATGAGTATTACTCTGGTGCTAGAAGAAAGTGTAATCTTTTCAAAGTTATTTAAAGATGTATTTATTTATTTTAGAGAGAGAGGGAGAAAGAGAGAGAGACAGCACCTGCGAGCAGGGGAGGGAGGGGCAGAGGGAGAGAAGCAGACTCCGTGCTGAGCGCGGAGCCCGCCATGGGGCTCGATCTCATGACCCTGACATCATGACCTGAGCTGAAATCAAGAGTCGGATGCCCATCCGGCTGAGCCACCCAGATGCCCCTCAGTGTTCTTAGTAGTAGTGAGCTGTGCTCAAAGATGGTCCTTTTAGAGATGAAGACACTCGCAGACCCGCAAGGATTTTGGCCTCGGGAGGTGCCACCAGGGGCCCGCCTCCCAGCAACTGGGAGCCAGGGCTTCTCCCCGCCTCCCTCTAAGCCACATGGAGTGAGCACACGTCCCTCCCTTCGGGGAGGCCCCCATGTGGCCTCAGGTGCTGACTGTCCTATTCTATTTGGTGTGAGGGTGACCCAAGTCGGCCGCCCGGAAGCGATGAAGCAGGACGACCGGTTCGTCCCATTCTGCCAGGGACTTCCCCAGTTTGGGCGCCTAAAGTCCTGCCTCCCAGGACATCCCTCAGGCCCAGAAGAACTGGGCGGTTGGTCACCCTGCAGTGAGCTGTGACTCTAAGGACACCGAGCTGGGAAGTGGGAGACACCACCCTCCTGCCCCTGACTCCCCAGCCAGTGAGTCAGCTCAGCTGTCTGGGCCTTGGTTTGCCTGCTCTGACTCTGCCCGAAAGGGCCATTTCTGGGGACAAAGGACAACAGCGCCTGTGGGACTGCCTTCTACACTGAGGCTGTGTCCACACAGGGAGTCAGAATGGTCAGGCCAGACCCTACCCCGGAGGGGTCAGCTGGACCTGTGGAGGCCTGCCCCAGCTTTCCCGTCACGAGTGGCCCTCCATTCTCCTCCTCAACCCCCACGAGCGTGCCCACCTGGAGCGAGGTATGGAGATGAGTTCTCCAGAATTATTCACAAGCCCAAGCCAACACATCTTCTGCTCTGGAGAGGATGTGACTCTGGGCCTGCTCTAGTGTAGGGTGCTACAAACTTTCTATAAAAGCCTGGGATGGGTGCCTGGGTGGATCAGTCGTTACGCGTCTGCCTTCAGCTCAGGTCATGATCCTGGGGTCCTGGGATCGAGCCCCACATCGGGCTCCCTACTCGGCAGGAAGCCTGCTTCTCCCTCTCCCACTCCCCCTGCTTGTGTCCCCTCTCTCGCTCTCTCTCTGTCAAATACATAAATAAAATCTTAAAAAAAAAAAAAAAGCCTGGGATGGTTGATTTGACGTGTCCACGTGGCTGAGCCATGGAGCTCAGATACTTGGTCAAACATTACCCTGCAGACATTACTCTGTGAAAGTGTTTCTGAGTGATATTAGCATTTATATTGCTTTGAATATTTGGATTGAAACATTTATTTTTTTAAAAGATTTTATTTATTTATTTGACACAGAGAGAGAGAGCAAGAGAGCACAAGCAGAGCGAAGGGCAGGGGGAGAGGGAGAAGCAGGCTCCCCACTGAGCAGGGAGCCCCATGTGGGGCTCGATCCCAGGACCCCAGGATCATGACCTGAGCCGAAGGCAGGTGCTTAACCAACTGAGCCACCCAGGCGCCCTGGATTGAAACATTTAAATGCTTTGAGTAAAGCAGATTGCCCTCAGTAATGTAGGTGGGCCCCATCTAATCAGTTGAAGGCCTGAATAGAGCAAAGACTGGACCTCTCCCAAGCAGGAAGGAATTCTGCCACAGATGGCCTTAGGACTTGAACTGCAACATAGGCTCTTCCCTGGGTCTCCAATCTGCCAGCCCACTCTGCAGATTTTGGATTTGCCAGCTTCCATAATCACATAAGCCAATTCCTTCAATAAATGTCTTTGTCTCTTTCACACACCCACACCCCATTGGCTCTGTTTCTCTGGAGGGCCCTGACCAATAGGCAGCCCAGCTAGAAAACATTTTAGACTCTGCGGGTCATGCAGTCTCTGTCACATGTCCCCATCTGTCACGGTGGCTTGCAAGCAGCCACAGACCATTTGTGAAGGCGTCTCATCCTGGGCACTGTAGACACTTTACCAGATACTTCTCAGTTGTGGGGACCGTCCTGGGCACTGTCCGATGCTTAGCAGCCTCCCTGGCCTCCCCACTCTGGAGGCCAGGAGCAGCCCTCGGTGTGACAACCCAGCCTGTGCCCGGGGCTCAGAGCAACCCGCCCGCCCCCACTGAGAACCACTGTGTACGGGAATGAGCCTGGCTGTGTCCCAGAGAAACTCGTTGCGAAATAAGCGGTGAGTTGGATTTGGCCTGCCGGCCGTAGTCTGCCAACCCTACTCGGGGCGGTGGGGACAGCCTTCACCGGTGAGGACTCGGGGCTCTGCAGGAGGGGACACGTGGTTAGAGTGAGGGGGCGCAGCGGGAGACCTGTAATGTCCCACAGATCCCCTTCCAGGGCTTTGCACACAGCCAAGTCCAGGCCAAGGAGCCTGGCTGCGTCTCCGGTGGGGGCTGTCGGGCAGGCGCCGGCGCCCTGGTCTGGACGTTGCCCTTGCTGTGCTGAGGGCAGGCCGAGAAGCAGCTGCCGCTGTCGTGTGCATCCCGGCTGGGTTGCAGGGTTGGAGAAGACGGGGCGTGCGGAGCCTGGGCCGCCCTCGGGACTGCCTCCTCTCCCGCCATTCCCACCGCCGTCCATCGGGCACGGAACGGTTGCTGAATCTTTGCGAACGAGCTTCACTTGGCAGCCCAGGCAGACGAGCCTAGTCCATGTGGCAAGCGGGGGTTTCTCTGCTCCCCAGCGGCGTGCAGATGGGTGGGCCGGGCGGAGGAGGCGGCAGCAGGCCCCTGCGGGGGGACCGAGGGGCCTGCCGCCATGGGGCCCACCATAGGCGACCACCGAGGCTGCCACGGAAGGGTTCGTGGCTGTGCGCTGGGCACAGCGCACTCCCTGGAAGCTCCGGTTAGTAGGAGCTCCATGGTCATTTAAGTCCCAACAGGAAGCTGTTCTGGGTCACGCTCAGGGCTTAGGGCAGGGGCACTGCACTCCACTCCCGTTCTGTCTGTGGGGCGGACAGCATGTAGCCGCTCTGATGGGAGCCCAGCTTCCGGGAGCCCTGGGAAGCAGTGGAGCCGAGTGCAGGGGTAACCGGGCCACCCCACTGGGCCGGCCACCCGCAGCACGTGGTGGTCAGCCATGGACTACAGCGATGGTTGTCAGGCTCTGGTGTGTGCCTGCGTCCCCCGGGGAGCTCACGGTCCCCCTGGCCCCGGCCCACCAGCAAGAAGCGGGCCTGGGCCTTTGTGTCTCCACCATGGGCTCTGGGGGTCCTGACCCAGCCGAAGTTCCAGAACCCCGGGTTAAAGCCTGGCCGGTACGGTTGGCATTGGCGTCTCCTGAGAGCGGGTCAGACATGCACTCGCCTCTGAGCCTCTAGGACCTGCTGGCTTCATAGGGCCTTGTCGACAAGACCCTTAGATCTTTCTGTGCAGCTTGCAGTTTGGGAAGCACTAGGCTGGAGGTGGGTGGGCCCCAGAACAAGGCCCCGAGGCCCCAAGAAGGAACCTAAGCTGAGCAATGCCGGCCACCAGGATTAGCTGGGGGCAGGGTCACCCATCTGAGGCGACGGGGACACGGAAGAGTCCAGTGAGACGGAATGAGCTCCCTGGCGGGGAGAGGAAGGAGCGGTCTGCTCCTCAGGGACATGGGTCCTGGGTCCGGGGCAGCAAAGACATCTTAGGACATGTCGCAGGCCTGGACCGCAGCCAGAGCCCAGTGGCAGAGGCGCCACGGCCCATTCCATTTGCAGGGACTCTCCCAGGCTTCCCT